GAGCCAGCCTGGGCTATACAGTGAATCTAAGGCCAGCCTGAAACACAGTGAGACTCTGTCTCAAAAAAAAAAAAAACACCAAAAAATCCCAGGATGGTGGTGCACCCCTGTACTCCCAGCACTGGGGAGGGTAAGGCAGGAGAATTGCCACAAGTTGGAGGCTAGCCTGAGCTACACAGTGAGTTTAAGGCCAGACTGAACTACAGGGGTAAAATCCGGTCTCAAACCAAAAATCAATTAATGTCAATCAATTAAAAACAAAGTGGCTGGGATCAAAGTTCAGTGATAGAACACCTGCTTAGCTGGAGGAAGGCCTTAGATTCCACCCCCAGCACTTTCAAAAAAAAAAAAAAAAAAAAAAGAGAGAGTGAAAGTTTAAAAGAAAAACATTAAAAGAGGGAAACAAATTCTAAAAACAAAAAATTCATAGTCAGTAGGTATTTGTTGGACACTGTTTATCCTGTAAATTCTACACATCTTACAATAACCCTACATGGTCTTCTAAAGAGGAGCTTGGTCCATAGTGTGGATCTCAATATTTAGCAGTTTTTAACTGATACAAATGACAAGGTAAAGGTCTGGCAGAGGTACAGGTATCTAGTACTAGGACTCAAGAGATGCTGCTACACATGCTATAATGCATGAGAGCTATGTCCAATAGAAAATTGTACCTGTTCAAAATGCCAAAGAAACTATGGCCTACAAAAATCAAAGGATTTTCTTCTAAAATAAGCAGCTCTGTAGGGCCCGGGATTTAGCTCAGTGGTTTCGCTACCTGCTGCGCAAGCTCAAGGACTCAAGTTCGATCCCTGGTACCAAACAAAAAAAAAAAAAAAAAAAAAAGAGTAGGAAAAACTAAATGCTGAAGGAAAACTTTACAACAGTAACTTTCATGAAGCCAATTTGTTTATGGCACACAGTTAAGCAATCCCTATAATACTAGAAAACGTTAAACCAAGCGTGATGGTGCCTGCCTGTAATAATAATACCAGGATCAGGTACAGGTGCAAATTCCCTGCGATGAGTTATAATTATGTATGCCTAAAATGTATCAATAAATGATTTGCTATTTAAAAAAAACAAAAACAAAAACCAGTGAAATCCTGTCTCAGAAAAAAAAATTGTCAAGTAAACCTTTAAGTTATAGATACCATTTATTTTAATGAATTTAAGCTAACATTAAATTAGGTTGTGTTTTAAATGCTTTAAACTGTAATACAAATCAAGCTAAATTTTATTTATTTATTTATTTATTTATGGGGGGGGTGCGGGGATCAAACTCAGGACCTTGAGCTTGTGAGGCAGGCGCAGTGCCACTGAGCTGCATGCCCCGCCCCAAGCTAATTTATTTTTAAATAATTAAAATATGCCTATCCTTGACCAAGTCATGACAATATGGTACAATATAAACACAACCAAACCTAGATCCAAATTCCAAAGCTGAATGTTTGCAGACAATTTAACTTCTCTGAATCTCAATTTCCTCACCTAAGAAATGGGAAAGCTAATTTAAAGACCTGTGCTTAAGAATGAGTAATAATGTATAAACAATGACACTGACAGGCAGGCATTCTACAAATGACAGTTAGCTATTAGCAGCAATAACTGGTAGTAAAATAATATAATTCACAAATAAAACAGATTATGGTTTTTCATCCTCACAATCAACAATTCACCTATATTACTTAACTCAAAATAACTGTAAAATGTATTTTAATATGCATTTTCCACTCTAGCAACTCTGAACCATTACTTAAAATTCTGGTGGATGTGTATGCCTGTAATCCCAATACTGTACTTGGGAGGCTGAAGCAGGAGTCTGTGAGTTGAGGCCAGCCTGGGCTATACAGTAAGTTCAAGGTCAGCATGGACTACATAGCAAACTACAAAAAACAAAACAAAACAAAGACTATTTAGCAGATAAAAGACTGACTCCCCAAAGATTGTCTTAGGGAAAAGAGATCTAGATGGTGCCTTTAGTTCATCTGAATAAAAAACACTGACATCACTCAAAACTCAAAAGGGATCTATACTCAAAATCCACTTAGCCAATTCCCCTACGCAGAATCAAACAATTTTATCAATTTTTCAGGAATCCTTTCAACTGTACTGACAAAGACATATTTCCCCTTTTGAAATAAATGATAGTCTCAACACTCCTCTGTACCTCACTTTTCTCATTTATCTAGGAGGCTATATTTTAATTTTTTGTTTTGTTTTGTTAAGGCTGGCCTTGAACACACTATGTATCCCAGGCTGCCCTCAAACCTGCAGCAAACCTCCTGACTCAGCCTCAGGAGTGCTAGTATTACAGGTGTGAGAGGTTGTATTTTAATCAACATACCCTATGGACACTCACAAGCTCTTACAACTAGAATTCATTAAACACCAGCCATCTTTAAAAAGGTATTTTGTTTGGTTGGGGTTGTTTGTTTTTTTTTTTTGGTACCAGGGATTGAATTCAGGACCTTGCACCTTGTAGTTGCAGTGCAGCTGAACTAATCCCTGGGCCTAAAATGGTATTTTGAATGCCCCCTAAAGGTCCTGAAATCAACCAATATTTTTAGGAAACACAAACATATGAATTAAATTTTGGTAAACTAGAGATTCACATACAATGGCATGATAGGGCCGGGGATTTAGCTCAGTGGTTTCGTCGCCTGCTGCGTAAGCGCAAGGACCCGAGTTTGATCCTTGGTACCAAAAAAAAATGGCATGTTAAAATACTTTATTATTTGATCAGTCATTCAAAATACCACATTTACACACTTAAGGAAATACATGGGTACTACAAGTCTTTCAATGAGTTGAAAATCTACTTACAGAAGTGTCTATTAAAATATCAATGAAACAAAATATTGGTGAGAATAAAACTACTTATTGTTTATATTTATTCCAAGATTAACTTATGACACTTTCCTAAATGTTCTTTTCAACTTACTTTCCTAGAACAAGATTCCTTTCAGATTTATAAAGGTACTATTCTCTTTTTCTCTCTTTTGAGGTGCTGGGGGCTGACTCAGGCCCTTAGGTACACTAGGCAAAGGCTCCATTTCTGAGCTATTCCTCCACCACAAGCCACTACTCTTAAAAAATAACTTGTCTGTTTGCATTTCCTGTTTTCTTTTTCTGAAATACTGTTTTCCTTAAACAGCAATATTAATATAATAATATGCATGACCAGAGCAACACAAAAATTTCTGGTAATCTTCAATTTAAGTACTAAGAATACCATGGTGAAAAGTCATTTTACACAAAGCAAAGAGACCGTATTCATATTATCAGAGCAGTTTACCACTTTTAAGTAAAAGAAAATAAAGTATTAGAAATCTATTAAGTTTCAGGCACACACAACCACATTATAGAAGAAATGTTTCAGGCTAATGGCAACAATAGTTGCAATCTTTCATTAAGAATATAGCTCTATTATGTATCATAGAATACATTTTCTTATTAAACAACAAATTAAAATTACCGTTACAGTTTGTTTCAGTGTAGACATTTATGACTATTTCTGCATTGTACCACAAAAATACAAAGTCATCCTTCCATTCCAAGTTTCAGCAAATGAACAAATGCAAAGTTCAGAATTCATACACATGCTCTGTTAAAAGGATCATTACTTATATACTATTTAATCACCTACTGATCACATAAGTCTAATAATTGTCATTTTGGATTTTAAGTAGTTTTCTCGTATGTATTTGGAAAGACATATGATCACAGTACACTCAGTAGCACAATAAAGCATAGAGTGGTGAATTTCATAAATCATTACGGACATTATCAAAGTACCAACCACAAAAGAAAAACACGAAACAGCTTGACATAGTCAATGTTAATCTTTAAAGTAACAATCATTTTCAGTATTATTCTATTAAACTCAATCGGGAAAACCACTAGACATTCTTGTTAATTTTGGTACGAAAAATTATACTAATACTTGCACAGTTTTCAAATAAATACTCCACCTTGACTATTTTATGTAAATAAACGTGGCCTGTAGTAATGTACAGTATCTAAACTCTGCAGGACTGAAAAACAGGAGGAAAATTTTTTCTTAAAAAATCCATACTATGTCGTGCTATCTATTCAGGTCAGGATACAATAACTTAATAATTATATACAATAATATATCTGGTAAAATCTCTTGTTCTTAATAGATCTATTTTTCAAAAATAAAATCAATTTAACTATGAGGAACGTCATAACGAAGTTTCACAGCACAACGAGTCACAGAGGCATTGTCTTAGGAGAACAACTCTGATCTCTTGTCAACAGTGTTTTGAAATAGCTATTCAAACACTCCATTATTTTTTTTTCCTAGCTAAAAATATTCAATACACCAAACAACTTGCCTTTGGCCAGTCAAAAAGCTTTAGATGCCAATATACAGGCCTAAGAATGGGGGAGGGGTGCAAAGAAAGAAGATAATGATCTAACTTGGAATTAATTTCCTACCTCTCGTGGATATTCCCTTATCCCTGCCTCCCAATACGCCGCTATCCCATTATGCCTCCCCTCGTCTCCCAGCACCCAACTATGGGGAGTAAGTCAGCCTGTCCCCCTCCTAGCATCCACACCTAAAGGCTCGCTCCGTCCCACCCCTAAGGACAGGACAGCAGAGGCCTGGCAGGCAATAATCCAGAATCCCCGGAAAAGTGCGGGCCCTTGCGAGGCGACTCCCCGGATCTGGTTACCACCTTTCCCCTTCCCCCAACCCACTTCCCGGGTTTTCCCGGGCTCGGCCAGCTCCCTCCCTCCCTTCCAGCCGCGGCCTCCGCCGGGGGCGACCCCGGGAGCGCCGTCCCGCCCCGCAGCGCGCTCCCAGCCGCCCGCCCGCGAAATCCCGACCTGGGCCGGGAGGGGAGGGGGCGGCGGCCCCGCAGGGGCGGTCGCAGCGAGGGAGACCTGGGGCTGCCGGGGACGTCGAGATCGCCGCTGGGGGGGCCCTCCCGCCCCGGGCTGAGGTGGGGGACGCCCGGGAGTTCATTTCTGACCTCCTCGCTCTTCAGCACCTCCTTGAACTCCCGCTTGATTCGCTGCACCGCGATGTTGGCCATGTCTCCGCCCGCAGCTGATTCGTACCCGTCTCCTCCGCCACCGCTACGACCACCGCCGCCGCCACCTCTTCCTCCACCGCCTCCTCCCTCGGCGATTCAGACCCGAGCACCCGAACGCTGCTACTGCCGCCCCTGCCACCACCGCTGCCGCCGCCGCCGCCGCCGCCGCCGCCGCCGCCGAGCTCTCCTCAGTGTGGAATCACCTCAGCGCCCGGCCACCAAAATGGCGCCAGAGCCGCGCATGCGCACGACGCGGGCCGGGCCGGGCTGCGCAGCCGCTCCCGATATACCCCACACACCTCGCCGCGAGCCCGCGCCGCACCGCGCGTCTCCGCCGGAGCTTCAGCCGCGTGGCTCCGCCCTGCCGGCGTCCGGCGCGGCAAGGGTGCGGCTTCCACCCCGGCCAGCCGGGCCTCCCGGGTCCGCCCGTGCGCCTCCGCCCCGTCCCGCCCCTCTTTAGGCCCTGGTGCTCACAGCCGGTGGCCCCGGCCCTGCCTGACCTCTTCCCGCGGCCCTCTCGGCCCGAAGCCGTCCTAGCTTAGCCTGACCCCGAGCCACGGGCCGTGCCGGGATGAGTCTAGCGTAGGGAGCCGCTCTGCTGGACCTCGGTCCGGCCCACTGTCGATCGAGACATGCCCAGAAAACCTACTGCGGTGGCTTTTGTTCTGCAGCCATTGTACTGCTACTACGGTTCCACCATCTCGGGTGGTACAAACTGTTAAGGGCGGTTATTGTTGGATCGCAGCGGATGCGCTTGAAAAAGATGTTACTTGGGGAGGCTCAGGGTGGGTTTGGAAGTTGATCTTTGACCTATTTCGATATGAGAGGTGTGGAATTAAAACCTTGGTTTTCAAACTTGGGTATGCACCAGAATCTTTAGAGAGCTTGTTAAAAAAAAAAAAAAGATTGCTGGGCCTCAGCCCTAGAGTGTAGGGTGGACCTAAGAATTTGCATTTTTAATAAGCTTTCAGCCGCTACTGCTGGTGGTTGTCCAGGAACGATCCGTAGTACCGCAGAATTAATAAGGCATGTGTATATTTTCAAGGGGAAAAAAAAAAAAGAAAAGAAATGGGAGCTTCGGGG